GAAATGAAGAGTTAAGTTTTATGTGGTATAAAAAAGCTGTCGAAAGTGGAAGTGTGAATGCTGAAAATGGTCTTGCTGGATGTTATAAAATTGGATTTGGGACAAAGAAAGATAAATCAAAAACTGCTTTACATTATAAAAATGCTTCAAAGAAAGGAAATTGTACTGCAATGTTTTATTTGGGTTGGTGTTATGAAAAGGGTTTCGGTGTAGTAAAAGATTATGATCACGCAATGAATTTATATGAAAAGGCTGATAAATATGGAAATTTATTGGCATTTTATTCCTCGGATAATTTACAAAGAAAGATTAATAAAAGTGCGTCACAACCACCATCTGAACCTTCGGTATCATCACCACAATCGGATTCTCAGGTAAAAAAAAACATATTCCTATATACATACACGTCTTGCTAGATATATAGCAAATATAAATTCTTATTCAGTGAGATTTAATTAAATAAATTTATGTATACATATAAACAGGAGGAAACAGATTCTGTTTCATCACAGGTAAAGAATTTTTCTTGTGTGTATCTAGATAGAAAATAAAGTAATAGGGAATTTTTTTTTGTATTGATTATAATAAGTATTATAATTACTATGCAAAAATTTCGATTATTTTATTCTCTAAAAACTTGTAAAATATTAATAAACAGTCAAATTAATTATCATATAATTTTTTCATGACCTAAAAAACAGGAAGAAACAAATATGCATTCATCCCAAGTAAGAAACATTCTCAAATATATTTATTAATATTCATTTCAAATAAAGTGAATAAAATAATCGAAATTTTTGCATAGTAATTATAATACTTATTATAATCAATACAAAAAAAAATTCCCTATTACTTTATTTTCTATCTAGATACACACAAGAAAAATTCTTTACCTGTGATGAAACAGAATCTGTTTCCTCCTGTTTATATGTATACATAAATTTATTTAATTAAATCTCACTGAATAAGAATTTATATTTGCTATATATCTAGCAAGACGTGTATGTATATAGGAATATGTTTTTTTTTACCTGAGAATCCGATTGTGGTGATGATACCGAAGGTTCAGATGGTGGTTGTGACGCACTTTTATTAATCTTTCTTTGTAAATTATCCGAGGAATAAAATGCCAATAAATTTCCATATTTATCAGCCTTTTCATATAAATTCATTGCGTGATCATAATCTTTTACTACACCGAAACCCTTTTCATAACACCAACCCAAATAAAACATTGCAGTACAATTTCCTTTCTTTGAAGCATTTTTATAATGTAAAGCAGTTTTTGATTTATCTTTCTTTGTCCCAAATCCAATTTTATAACATCCAGCAAGACCATTTTCAGCATTCACACTTCCACTTTCGACAGCTTTTTTATACCACATAAAACTTAACTCTTCATTTC